ACTGAAATATTCTGATATATTTTTCAGGCAGCCCATAGTGTCTCATACTGCACCAAATAAAGTCCCTTCTAATAGAATCGAACGCTGACTTGAAATCGACAAAATTAATGAAAAGAGGAATGTTAAACTCAATACAGTTATGAATAATAGTTCGAAGAGAATAAATCTGATCAATACATGAGCGGTTCTGTCTGAATCCGCACTGATTCTCCCTGAGAAGACACTCCATACCAGCATGTAACCGCTTAAGAAGAATCATCTGAAAAAGCTTGGATGCTGTAGACCTTAAAGTGATCCCTCTGTTGTTCCCGCAGACTGAAGTGTCTCCTTTCTTCCCAATAACAATTATCACACCCTTTAACCAATCTTCAGGAACAGTCTCTTCTTCCCACACTTTCTTGAATAGACACTCTAGTTGATCAACTAGAGCACTCGCACCATACTTCAGTTGCTCGTTAGTTATCCCGTCCACGCTTGGGCTTTTGTGGTTCTTAAGCTTTGTCAGGGAATAACTAATCTCGTCTCTGGTGGGTGGTCCATCCGAACAAGAGAGAGAGTCAAAGTGGGGTTGGGGTGGTACTGTATCAAGGTCGGGCAGGTCGACACTTGATAATGGAGGATTCAGAAGTTCAGTAAAGTGTTCCTTCCACCTATCCCTCTGCTGTTGGGGATCCGTGATCTTCCTGCCGTCCTTGTCCCGAACACAAGATGCTTGAGGCTTCTTGTTCTTACCAGAGATCTTCTTGATCTTTGCCCATACCTCACGCTGCTGACCTTTGCTCGCTGCTTCCTCAAGATCAGTAGCCACTTTAACTGCCCAGTTATTGTCGTCTAGCTTGCTGCTTTTCTTGACTAACTTATTAAGTTTAGAATACTCTGACCTGTTAGCGTCCGAGTTTGGGTCTCTGCGCTTAAACTGTGGGGAAGGCCTACATGAGTCAACTGATCTACTAGTTCATTACAGCTCCTACGCTGGGCTCAGAATAAATGCAAAGAAGACCCACAGCATGACTGTAGGCAAGTGCGCCTCCCAGCGACCTTTCATCAAGGATGACTGTATTGAGCTGTCGGTTGAGGGTGAACCCGTTGAGCAGGTTAGCAACTTTGTCTACCTGGGTGCAACTATCAGTGGGGATGGGACAATCGACAGAGACCTGCATGTCCGTATCCAGAAGGCTAATGGCGCCTTTCATCAACTCTGGAACATTTGGAATAGCAGAACTATGAAGACTCCAACCAAGATCAGGATCTATAAGGCTGCTGTCCTCACCATCTTGTTGTATGGAGCTGAAGTCTGGAACACCACCAAAAAGCAGATGAAATGCTTCGAGGTTTTCCATCAGACCTCCCTAAGAAGGATCCTTAGGATTAAATGGTTCTTCCATGTTTCCAACGAAGAAGTTCTTAGGAGGGCTGGCATCAAGTCAGTCGAGACTTTCATCAGTGCTGCCAGGCTACGTTGGTATGGACATGTAGTTAGAATGCCAGACTCTAGACTACCGAGGTTTCTGTTGAACTGGAAGCCAAATTATGGAAAGAGGTCAGGGGTAGACCCCGTAAGAACTGGAAGACCTGCGTACTTGAAGATGCTGCTAAGTTTACAGGTGTTGAAAACATCGACAACAACACAACAGAAGCTCTGGCTACCAACCGAGTACAGTGGAGACATATGCTACGCCGCCAACGCGATGTGTTATGCAGGCCACTCCAACGACTAGGAGGAGACCTTACCATGTAACATGTATGCAACATGTAACCATAGTAACACTACCATAGTAACACTACCTTATAAGAATAAGATATTATCCAGCCTAATGCTCTGAACAATTGGTCGTAGTTGTAAAGACAAGACACGCTTTAAGGACTTTCGAGAGGGTTTGAAAGTTATACGCAGTTATACACGCTTTTACCATAGTAACACTACCTTATAAGAATAAGATATTATCCAGCCTAATGCTCTGAACAATTGGTCGTAGTTGTAAAGACAAGACACGCTTTAAGGCCTTTCGAGAGGGTTTGAAAGTTATACGCAGTTATACACGCTTTTATTTCGTTGCTAATTTGTGCCTCTGTTATCAGCAGCGCTTATCATCTCAACAACTATCTCATACTCGCAGCTACAGCTTGTTTTACGGATACTGTACACTGTGTATAACTGATCAACGATATGCCGACAGTAGCAGAACGTTTCAAATTTGACTTAGTAGAGACCGATGGACAAAAGTTCCTACTTGATACCGTGAAACAGTGTAAAGTCGATTGTGTTCAAGAACTAAATCATGAGAGCGTGAACAAAATTGGTAACAAGGGGGATTTAGCGGCAAAGTTTTTGCAAGCCATGCAGCTCATTGAGAGACAGCATAACATGATCATAAATCAGAGGGTACACGTTAGTTAGTATCAGTCTAGTATGATACAGCTGCAGGACCAAGTTATAAAACTACAGGAGCAACTATTATCTGCAAAAGAAGGACTTTCTAAGGCGATAGAGTTTAACGAACATCTCAAGACTGAGTTTTTTGAGGGTGTTCAGAAAGAAGTCAGTTCAGTTAAACAAAGTTTTAGCGATGTGGTGAAATCCGATAGTATCGAGAACTCAGCTGCGATTTCTACAGAATCCATTAAATCAGTTGCCAAGCAAATTGCTTTGGAGGAGGAGTTGGGTAGGAACATCATGGTCTTTGGGCTATGCGAGGAGGTCAATGAGGAGATCAATACAAAAGTCGCTGAAGTATTGGAATCATTGGGAGAGAAACCCCGAGTTGAGGCTTGTAGAATCGGCAAAAAATCACCGTCAGCTGCAAGACCGGTTAAAGTTTCCTTTTCCAGTTCTTCGATTGTGCAACAAATACTGAAGAAGTCGAGTAAACTGTGTGGAACAGAGAGATTTAAGAGGGTGTTCCTAGCTCCAGATCGTACAGCAGAAGAGAGAGCTCAGCGTAAAGAACTTGTCCTAGAGCTAAAAAGAAGAGCTGGTATTGAGAAGGACAAAAAACTCTTCATTCGTGAAGGGAAGATTTGTAGCCTTGAGAGGCAAAAATGAGTTTCTAAATATTTTTCGTGTTGTGAGCAAATCAAAAAGTTTAGCTCTATGAGTATTTGTCTTCTGTGTGCTTAGTTTTTGTCGAAGGATCTAACCATTTTATTTCACTTATACAAAACTGTATAGTTTTCAAGGGATTAATCTGGTTTTAGGCGAATCTTGTTCAGAGATCGCTGTTTCATTACTCTTAGTCAGCTGGTGCAGCCTTTATACATACTTTTATATGTATATTTACAATTTTAAATTGCTGTTCAATATCTATTTTTAGTAAACATTAACTGGGGTAGTAAAACCCAGTTCCCAATCAATCAAGTTGGGGAATAACGCGGAATAATGAACGTATAATCAGTGAAAATGAAATTGATAAGGAAACGTTAGTGTGCTGCTGAACTGAAGTAGCTAAAGAAACTAATGAAAAAGTAAAATCGGAGACAGTCGCTCAAGAAAAGTGGTATAAAAAAAGTATACCAAGTGTTACTATTTTTGGAACCGAATTGATTGGTTAAGTTCGAATGAAACTAGGTCTGTGACTTTTATTGCCTTTTTACTGGTTCTCTTACATTGCATAAATTATTTATTCGTATGTACACTTATTTTACCATCGAACATGTTTTGAGTTTGGCAATGTTTTTGAAAACTCATTCAATTGTGCACGCTTTGACTGAAAAATAAGCCCAAACGTATGTTCACTGACTTTTTCGCCTCTCCAGAATAAAGTAATAGAAATAAAAGCAAAAAAAGTTTACAGTATGTTAACTGCACCACTTTACATGTGAACCACGCATACCAATGAAGCTGTGAGCCCACTGAGATAAATACATGTGAGAATTACTCTTTTTAACCTTATTTACATAAATTTGTTTGTCATTACTTACTTTGAATACTTAAATTATTGCTATCACGACACTTCTTTTGAGACATGGAATTTGTATGGTCTCCACCATAGTTGGTTCGTGCGTTACTTTTCCAGGAAAAGTGCGTTTAGTTCGTGATATAATAGCAAATATGAAACAGCTAAATATATTCAACAACTTCCCTCCACAGTCTGTAGTGTACAAATGTTACTGGCTGGACCAGAATAAACACCAGAAATACTGAAAAAGAGCGGCATTTGTCGTAGTGAGTTGTATTGATGCCAACTTACTTTATCTTTCTTCTCTTTTTAACGTGAGTATTATTACTTACCTTATCTTTCTTCTCTTTTTAACGTGAGTATTATTACTTACCTTATCTTTCTTCTCTTTTTAACGTGAGTATTATTACTTACCTTATCTTTCTTCTCTTTTTAACGTGAGTATTATTACTTACCTTATCTTTCTTCTCTTTTTAACGTGAGTATTATTACTTACCTTATCTTTCTTCTCTTTTTAACGTGAGTATTATTACTTACCTTATCTTTCTTCTCTTTTTAACGTGAGTATTATTACTTACCTTATCTTTCTTCTCTTTTTAACGTAAGTATTATTACTTACCTTATCTTTCTTCTCTTTTTAACGTGAGTATTATTACTTACCTTATCTTTCTTCTCTTTTTAACGTGAGTATTATTACTTACCTTATCTTTCTTCTCTTTTTAACGTGAGTATTATTACTTACCTTATCTTTCTTCTCTTTTTAACGTGAGTATTATTACTTACCTTATCTTTCTTCTCTTTTTAACGTGAGTATTATTACTTACCTTATCTTTCTTCTCTTTTTAACGTGAGTATTATTACTTACCTTATCTTTCTTCTCTTTTTAACGTGAGTATTATTACTTACCTTATCTTTCTTCTCTTTTTAATGTGAGTATTATTACTTACCTTATCTTTCTTCTCTTTTTAATGTGAGTATTATTACTTACCTTATCTTTCTTCTCTTTTTAATGTGAGTATTATTACTTACCTTATCTTTCTTCTCTTTTTAACGTGAGTATTATTATCCTTGTTTAATATTAAAATTAATATTACTCACTCAAACATGGGTATGTACATACAAAGAGTGACCAGGTATTTATTCAAAGTGTGTTACTTTCCAATACATATTAAACTTTTCTACTGTTTGATATTTTCTCACGTATAGTAACATTACCAAATAAGGTAATGTTAAATGAAACCATAGTACCTTATATGGTAATGTAACCATAGTAACACAACCATATAAGGTAGTTTTACCATAAATACACATCCAAATAAGGTAATGTAACAATAGTATCACTTCCAAATAAGGTATAAGAAAGAAAAATATATATATATAAACGAAATTTTCTCAGGTTATGCAGCAATGCAGAGGGTTTTTGTCCGGAGAATACCTATATAACTAGTGATGGATGCGCTTGCAAAGCACAGGGATATTACTTTGACGGAGTGTCTTGTATCGACATTAACGAGTGCGTGTTCCAGCCTTGCACTAACGGTAAGTGTCTTGTATCGACATTAACGAGTGCGTGTTCCAGCCTTGCACTAACGGTAAGTGTCTTGTATCTACATTAACGAGTGCGTGTTCCAGCCTTGCACTAACGGTAAGTGTCTTGTATCGACATTAACGAGTGCGTGTTCCAGCCTTGCACTAACGGTAAGTGTCTTGTATCGACATTAACGAGTGCGTGTTCCAGCCTTGCACTAACGGTAAGTGTCTTGTATCTACATTAACGAGTGCGTGTTCCAGCCTTGCACTAATGGAAAAACGTAACTGATAATTATCTTCAATAAAGGTTTAAAAAACTTCATATGTATTATCAGGTCAATATTTGCCGGACATTATTGCTTTTTATAGGACCGAGTATTAAATGCAGAAAAGGTATTTCAAACATGAATTAGCATACACTAACACACACTAACATACACTAACATACACTAACATACACTAACATACACTAACATACACTAACATACACTAACATACTCTAACATACACTAACATACACTAACATACACCAACATACACTAACATACACTAACATACACCAACATACACTAACATACACTAACATACACTAACATACTCTAACATACACTAACATACACTACCGATACACTAACATACACTAACATACACTAACATACACTACCAATACACTAACATACACTAACATACTCTAACATACACTAACATACACTAACATACACTAACATACACTAACATACACTAACATACACTAACATACACCAACATACACTAACATACACTAACATACACTAACATACACTAACATACTCTAACATACACTAACATACACTACCAATACACTAACATACACTAACATACACTAACATACACTAACATACACTAACATACACTAACATACACTAACATACACTAACATACACTAACATACACTAACATACACTAACATACACTAACATACACTAACATACACTAACATACACTAACATACACCAACATACACTAACATACACTAACATACACTACCAATACACTAACATACACTAACATACACTAACATACACTAACATACTCTAACATACACTAACATACACTAACATACACTAACATACACTAACATACACTAACATACACTAACATACACTAACATACACTAACATACACTAACATACACTAACATACTCTAACATACACTAACATACACTACCAATACACTAACATACACTAACATACACTAACATACACTAACATACACTAACATACACTAAAATACACTAACATACACTAACATACACTAACATACACTAACATACACTAACATACACTAACATACACTAACATACACTAACATACACTAACATACACTAACATACACTAACATACGTATGTACAAAATTCAGCCTTACGATTTGATCACACAGGGCACTGTATAAATCTACTGGGAAGTTATTTCTGCCTGTGTAGGGCCGGTTACCAATGGGACGGAACAACGTGCAGAGACATAAATGAGTGCTCGGAAAATCCACAGCTTTGCAATACAGGTAATTGTACCATAGTAACATTATTATTATTAAGAAACTGTTTACACCATTAAAATATTCAAAACCCCTAAAAGAAATCAAGTCATCCTAAAATGGTGATCAGTACAGATCAAGACAGCTAGAGTTAAAATTTGTTTCTCCAAGCAACTCTATCATCGGCTAATATCTTAAGCTTATTAAGATCATTCAAAGAGTTAAGTTTTAAACCTCTACTGGTCAAATCATTCACAATAATCTTGAACAAATTCTTACGATGCGCACCGACGCGCCCTTTACAGTTTGTTGTGACAGCAAACTTTAACGCTAATGCAGCGGGGGAGTCATCAGCACTACGCAAGATATGACCTAGGAGCTTCCACCTTGCTTTAGGGACACGATCTGATAGCTTTACTGAGTTACATCTTAGGTATAAGTTTGCATTGGATATTGTTCCATGAGGCCAATCAATGTTCAGTAATGATCTAAGGTGTTTTCTATGGCAAATGTCTAGTTTTTCTAGTGACTTTGCAGTAGGACACCAACTACTGCAATTGTACATGATGATTGATACAATTTGAGCTTCGTATACTGCTATCTTTCTGGTAACGGAGATATTCTGCTGAGACCAGATCTTGGTGAACTTATAGAAGGCATTGTTCCCAGCAATGCATCGAGCAGCTATATCACTTTCACTACACAACAATAACCCAAGAATTAGTATTAGTATTACCATATAATTAGAATTAGTATTAGTATTACCATATAAGGTAATTTTACCATAGTAACACTACAATATAAGGTAATGTTACCATAGTAACACTACAATATAAGGTAATGTTACCATAGTAACACTACAATATAAGGTAATGTTACCATAGTAACACTACAATATAAGGTAATGTTACCATAGTAACACTACAATTGCACAAAGGTTATACTGGTCGTTGTAATGACACTCTAATTGCACAAAGGTTATACTGGTCGTTGTAATGACACTCTAATTGCACAAAGGTTATACTGGTCGTTGTAATGACACTCTAAGGTGGGAATTAACAAATCCCTCCTCAGTTACCATAGTAACAAATCCCTCCTCAGGGACGTGTCGAAACAGGGCGGGATCTTATTACTGTGACTGTGATGAGGACGCTGTCAACTGTATGGGCACCTGTATAACAGAGACTGAGTGCAATGTGTTCAAAGGAATCACAACGGAAGTAAAGAAATCCAGACACAAGAGAAATTTAGAAAACGACTACGAAACAATGTTAGTGAATGGTGGGTCGTATGAATCAACAGATTTCAATTTTATTGGTCAACGAAATGAGCTCAATTCACTTGATTATGATTCTAGAAACCAAAAAGATGCTAAAATAGAAGTGGATTATATTTTTCCGCTAATAAAAGACAGAACTGATCGTAAAGACGAATTTGATGCACAGATTTTAAACAAATTCGGCCCTGAGAACACAATTGGACCACCCCTCAATCCCTCCTCAGTTACCATAGTAACACCGATAAACAATATTGAAAATGATGTCACCGATAATACAATAAAACTGATAGACGATATTATCTCAAAACAAATTTATAATTTTCAGAATTATCTAAGTCCACAAGAAATAGCTGGTGTAGAATTCGGCACAACCGAAGGAAAAATTAGGTCGGATAGCAGTAAATTCTACGATGATGATTCTGCCATGGAATTCAAAGATGGAGAAACTGGTCAATTCTTTAGTGGTAATTCTGCTGAAGGATTTGAGATCAGTCTTGCTGGTGATGAATATGGTACAGCTGGCGGAATTGGCTTCGTAGATATGATGTCCGATGATAATCAATTGTTCAATGGTGCTTCTGCCAAAGGATTCAAGATTAATGATGCTGGTGATGAATATGGTACACCTGGTGTAGTTGGCTTCGGAGATATGATTTCCAATGATAGTCAATTGTTTAATGATAATTCAGATGAAGGATTGGAGATCAGTGTTTCTGGTAATGAATATGGTACAGCTAGAGGAGTTGGCTTTGGAGAAATGATGTCCGGTGGGAGTCAATTGTTCTTTGAGGATGGTGCTGGTGCTGAATACAGTACAGCTGGTGGAGTTGGCTTCGGAGATATGATGTCCGATGATGGTCAGTTCGTCAGTGGTGCTTCTGCTAAAACATTCACCGAGGATGGTGCTGGTGCTGAAAACAGTACAGCTGGTGGAGTTGGCTTCGCAGATAAGATGTCTGATGATGGTCAGTTCGTCAGTGGTGCTTCTGCAGAAATATTCACTGAGGATGGTGATAATGCTGAATACGGTACAGCTGGTGGAGTTGGCTTCGCAGATATGATGTCTGATGATGGTCAATTCTTTAGTGGTGCTTCAGCTGAAACATTCACTGAGGATGAAGCTGGTGATAAATATGATACAGCTGGTGGAGTTGGCTTCGGAAATATGATGTCCGATAATGGTCAGTTCTTCAGTGGTGCTTCAGCTGAAACATTCACTGAGGATGGTGCTAGTGCTGAATACAGTACAGCTGATGGAGTTGGCTTCGGAGATATGATGTCCGATGATGGTCAGTTCGTCAGTGGTGCTTCTGCTAAAACATTCACCGAGGATGGTGCTGGTGCTGAAAACAGTACAGCTGGTGGAGTTGGCTTCGCAGATAAGATGTCTGATGATGGTCAGTTCGTCAGTGGTGCTTCTGCAGAAATATTCACTGAGGATGGTGATAATGCTGAATACGGTACAGCTGGTGGAGTTGGCTTCGCAGATATGATGTCTGATGATGGTCAATTCTTTAGTGGTGCTTCAGCTGAAACATTCACTGAGGATGAAGCTGGTGATAAATATGATACAGCTGGTGGAGTTGGCTTCGGAGATATGATGTCCGATAATGGTCAGTTCTTCAGTGGTGCTTCAGCTGAAACATTCACTGAGGATGGTGCTAGTGCTGAATACAGTACAGCTGATGGAGTTGGCTTCGGAGATATGATGTCCGATGATGGTCAGTTCGTCAGTGGTGCTTCTGCAGAAATATTCACTGAGGATGGTGCTAGTGCTGAATACAGTACAGCTGGTGGAGTTGGCTTCGGAGATATGATGTCTGATAATGGTCAGTTCGTCAGTGGTGCTTCTGCAGAAATATTCACTGAGGATGGTGCTAGTGCTGAATACAGTACAGCTGATGGAGTTGGCTTCGGAAATATGATGTCTGATGATGGTCAGTTCGTCAGTGGTGCTTCTGCAGAAATATTCACTGAGGATGGTGCTAGTGCTGAATACAGTACAGCTGGTGGAGTTGGCTTCGGAGATATGATGTCCGATAATGGTCAGTTCGTCAGTGGTGCTTCTGCAGAAATATTCACTGAGGATGGTGCTATTGCTGAATACAGTACAGCTGGTGGAGTTGGCTTCGGAGATATGATGTCTGATGATGGTCAGTTCGTCAGTGGTGCTTCTGCAGAAATATTCACTGAGGATGGTGCTAATGCTGAATACGGTACAGCTGGTGGAGTTGGCTTCGGAGATATGATGTCCGATAATGGTCAGTTCTTCAGTGGTGCTTCAGCTGAAACATTCACTGAGGATGGTGCTAGTGCTGAATACAGTACAGCTGATGGAGTTGGCTTCGGAGATATGATGTCCGATGATGGTCAGTTCGTCAGTGGTGCTTCTGCAGAAATATTCACTGAGGATGGTGCTAGTGCTGAATACAGTACAGCTGGTGGAGTTGGCTTCGGAGATATGATGTCTGATAATGGTCAGTTCGTCAGTGGTGCTTCTGCAGAAATATTCACTGAGGATGGTGCTAGTGCTGAATACAGTACAGCTGATGGAGTTGGCTTCGGAAATACGATGTCTGATGATGGTCAGTTCGTCAGTGGTGCTTCTGCAGAAATATTCACTGAGGATGGTGCTAGTGCTGAATACAGTACAGCTGGTGGAGTTGGCTTCGGAGATATGATGTCCGATAATGGTCAGTTCGTCAGTGGTGCTTCTGCAGAAATATTCACTGAGGATGGTGCTATTGCTGAATACAGTACAGCTGGTGGAGTTGGCTTCGGAGATATGATGTCTGATGATGGTCAGTTCGTCAGTGGTGCTTCTGCAGAAATATTCACTGAGGATGGTGCTAGTGCTGAATACGGTACAGCTGGTGGAGTTGGCTTCGGAGATATGATGTCCGATAATGGTCAGTTCTTCAGTGGTGCTTCAGCTGAAACATTCACTGAGGATGGTGCTAGTGCTGAATACAGTACAGCTGATGGAGTTGGCTTCGGAGATATGATGTCCGATGATGGTCAGTTCGTCAGTGGTGCTTCTGCAGAAATATTCACTGAGGATGGTGCTAGTGCTGAATACAGTACAGCTGGTGGAGTTGGTTTCGGAGATATGATGTCCGATAATGGTCAGTTCGTCAGTGGTGCTTCTGCAGAAATATTCACTGAGGATGGTGCTAGTGCTGAATACAGTACAGCTGATGGAGTTGGCTTCGGAAATATGATGTCTGATGATAGTCAGTTCGTCAGTGGTGCTTCTGCAGAAATATTCACTGAGGATGGTGCTAGTGCTGAATACAGTACAGCTGGTGGAGTTGGCTTCGGAGATATGATGTCTGATAATGGTCAGTTCGTCAGTGGTGCTTCTGCAGAAATATTCACTGAGGATGGTGCTAGTGCTGAATACAGTACAGCTGGTGGAGTTGGCTTCGGAGATATGATGTCTGATAATGGTCAGTTCGTCAGTGGTGCTTCTGCAGAAATATTCACTGAGGATGGTGCTAGTGCTGAATACAGTACAGCTGATGGAGTTGGCTTCGGAAATATGATGTCTGATGATGGTCAGTTCGTCAGTGGTGCTTCTGCAGAAATATTCACTGAGGATGGTGCTAGTGCTGAATACAGTACAGCTGGTGGAGTTGGCTTCGGAGATATGATGTCCGATAATGGTCAGTTCGTCAGTGGTGCTTCTGCAGAAATATTCACTGAGGATGGTGCTATTGCTGAATACAGTACAGCTGGTGGAGTTGGCTTCGGAGATATGATGTCTGATGATGGTCAGTTCGTCAGTGGTGCTTCTGCAGAAATATTCACTGAGGATGGTGCTAGTGCTGAATACGGTACAGCTGGTGGAGTTGGCTTCGGAGATATGATGTCCGATAATGGTCAGTTCTTCAGTGGTGCTTCTGCAGAAATATTCACTGAGGATGGTGCTAGTGCTGAATACAGTACAGCTGGTGGAGTTGGTTTCGGAGATATGATGTCCGATAATGGTCAGTTCGTCAGTGGTGCTTCTGCAGAAATATTCACTGAGGATGGTGCTAGTGCTGAATACAGTACAGCTGATGGAGTTGGCTTGGGAAATATGATGTCTGATGATGGTCAGTTCGTCAGTGGTGCTTCTGCAAAAATATTCACTGAGGATGGTGCTAGTGCTGAATACAGTACAGCTGGTGGAGTTGGCTTCGGAGATATGATGTCCGATAATGGTCAGTTCGTCAGTGGTGCTTCTGCAGAAATATTCACTGAGGATGGTGCTATTGCTGAATACAGTACAGCTGGTGGAGTTGGCTTCGGAGATATGATGTCTGATGATGGTCAGTTCGTCAGTGGTGCTTCTGCAGAAATATTCACTGAGGATGGTGCTAGTGCTGAATACGGTACAGCTGATGGAGTTGGCTTCGCAGATATGATGTCAGATGATGGTCAATTCTTTAGTTTTGCTTCAGCTGAAACATTCACTGAGGATGAAGCTGGTGATAAATATGGTACAGCTGGTGGAGTTGGCTTCGGAGATATGATGTCCGGTGAGAGTCAATTGTTCTTTGAGGATGGTGCTAATGCTGAATACTGTACAGCTGGTGGAGTTGGCTTCGCAGATATGATGTCTGATGATGGTAAATTCTTTAGTGGTGCTTCAGCTGAAACAATCATTGAGGATGGTGCTAGTGCTGAATACGGTACAGCTGGTGCAGTTGGCTTCGCAGATATGATGTCTGATGATGGTCAATTCTTTAGTGGTGCTTCAGCTGAAACATTCACTGAGGATGAAGCTGGTGATAAATATGGTACAGCTGGTGGAGTTGGCTTCGGAGATATGATGTCCGATAATGGTCAGTTCTTCAGTGGTGCTTCAGCTGAAACATTCACTGAGGATGGAGATAGTGCTGAATACAGTACAGCTGGTGGAGTTGGCTTCGGAGATATGATGTCCGATAATGGTCAGTTCGTCAGTGGTGCTTCTGCAGAAATATTCACTGAGGATGGTGCTATTGCTGAATACAGTACAGCTGGTGGAGTTGGCTTCGGAGATATGATGTCTGATGATGGTCAGTTCGTCAGTGGTGCTTCTGCCGAAACATTCACTGAGGATGGTGCTAGTGCTGAATACGGTACAGCTGGTGGAGTTGGCTTCGGAGATATGATATCCGATGATGGTCAATTCTTAAGTGGTGCTTCTGCTGAAACATTCCCTGAGGATGAAGCTGGTGATAAATATGACACAGCTGGTGGAGTTGGCTTAGAAGATATGAGGTCCGATGATGATCAATTCTTCAGTGGTGCTTCTGCCGAAGGATTCAAGATCATTGCTGCTGGTGATGAATATGATACAGCTGGTGGAGTTGGCTTCGGAGATATGATGTCTGATCATGGTCAATTCTATAGTGGTGCTTTTGCTGAAACATTCACTGAGGATGGAGCTGGTGATGAATACAATTCAGCTGGTGGAGTTGGCTTCGGAGATATGATGTCTGATGATGGTCAATTCTTTAGTGGTGCTTCAGCTGAAACATTCACTGAGGATGAAGATGGTGATGGATACGCTACAGCCGGTGGAGTTGGCTTAGAAGATATGAAGTCCGATGATGATCAATTCTTCAGTGGTGCTTCTGCCGAAGGATTCAAGATCAGTGCTGCTGGTGATGAATATGGTACAGCTGCTGGAGTTGGCTTCGGAGATATGATGTCCGATCATGGTCAATTCGTCAGTGGTAATTCAGCCGAAGGATTCAAGATCAGAGCTGCTGGTGATGAATATGATACAGCTGGTGGAGTTGGCTTCGGAGATATGATGTCTGATGATAGTCAATTCTTTAGTGGTGCTTCTGCTGAAACATTCACTGAGGATGGAGCTGGCGATGGATATATTACGGATGGTGGAGTCGACTTCGGAGATATGATGTCCGATGATGGTCAATTCTTCATTGGTAATTCAGCTATAGAATTCAATATCAGTGCTGCTGGTGATGAATATGGTACAGCTGTTGGAGTTGGCTTCGGAGATATGATGTCTGATGATGGTCAATTCTTCAAAGGTGCTTCTGCTGAAAAATTCACTGAGGATGGAGCTGGTGATGGATACGCTACAGCTGGTGGAGTTGGCTTCGTAGATATGATGTCCGATGATGGTCAATTCTTCAAAGGTGCTTCTGCAGAAACATTCACTGACGATGGAGCTGGTGATGGATACGCTACAGCTGGTGAAGTTGGCTTCGTAGATATGACGTCCGATGATGGTCAATTCTTCAAAGGTGGTTCTGCAGAAACATTCACTGACGATGGAGCTGGTGAAGGATACGCTACAGCTGGTGGAGTTAGCTTCGGAGATATGATGTCCGATGATGATCAATTCTTCAGTGGTGCTTCTGCCGAAGGATTTGAGATTAGTGTTGCTGCTAATGAATATGGTACAGCTGGTGGAGTTGGCTTCGGAGATATGATGTCTGATGATGGTCAATTGTTCAAAGGTGCTTTTGCTGAAGCAGTCACTGAGGATGGAGCTGGTGATGGATACGCTACAGCTGGTGGAGTTGGCTTCGTAGATATGATGTCCGATGATGGTCAATTCTTCAAAGGTGCTTCTGCAGAAACATTCACTGACGATGGAGCTGGTGATGGATACGCTACAGCTGGTGAAGTTGGCTTCGGATATATGATGTCCGATGATGGTCAATTCTTCAAAGGTGCTTCTGCCGAAGGATTCAAGATCAGTGCTGCTGGTGATGAATATGGTACAGCTGGTGGAGTTGGCTTCGGAGATATGATGTCCGATGATGGTCAATTCTTCAGTGGTAATTCAGCCGATGGATTCAAGATCATAGCTGCTGGTGATGAATATGATACAGCTGGTGGAGTTGGCTTCGTAGATATGATGTCCGATGATGGTCAATTCTTCAAAGGTGCTTCTGCAGAAACATTCACTGACGATGGAGCTGGTGATGGATACGCTACAGCTGGTGAAGTTGGCTTCGTAGATATGATGTCCGATGATGATCAATTCTTCAGTGGTGCTTCTGCCGAAGGATTCGAGATTATTGTTGCTGCTTATGAATATGGTACAGTTGGTGGAGTTGGCTTCGGAGATATGATGTCTGATGATGGTCAATTGTTCAAAGGTGCTTCTGCTGAAGCAGTCACTGAAGATGGAGGTGGTGATGGAAACGCTACAGCTGGTGAAGTTGGCTTCAGAGATATGATGTCCGATGATGGTCAATTGTTCAAAGGTGCTTCTGCAGAATCATTCACTGAGGATGGAGCTGGTGATGCATACACTACATCTGGTGGAGTTAGCTTCGGAGATATGATGTCCGATGATGATCAATTTTTCAGTGGTGCTTCTGCCGAAGGATTCGAGATTAGTGTTGCTGCTGATGAATATGGTACAGCTGGTGTAGTTGGCTTCGGAGATATGATGTCTGATGATGGTCAATTGTTCAAAGGTGCTTCTGCTGAAGCAGTCACTGAGGATGGAGCTGGTGATGGATACGCTACAGCTGGTGGAGTTGACTTCGGAGAAATGAAGTCCGATGATAATCAATTCTTTAGTGTTGCTTCTGCTAAAACATTCACTAAGGATGGAGCTGGTGATGGATACGCTACGGCTAGTGGAGTCGACTTCGGAGATATGATGTCCGATGATGATCAATTCGTCAGTGGTAATTCAGCCGAAGGATTCAAGATCAGTGCTCCTGGTAATGAATATGGTACAGCTGGTGGAGTTGACTTCGGAGATATGATGTACGATGATGGTCAATTCTTCAAAGGTGCTTCTGCTGAAACATTCACTGAGGATGGAACTGGTGATGGATATGCTACAGCTGGTGGAGTTGGCTTCGAAGATATGATGTCCGATGATGGTCAATTGTTCAGTGGTAATTCAGCCGAAGGATTCAAGATCAGTGCTGCTGGTGATGAATATGGTACAGCTGGTGGAGTTGGCTTCGGAGATATGATAACTGATGATGGTCAATTCGTCAGTGGTAATTCAGCCGAAGGATTCAAGATCAGTGCTGCTGGTGATGAATATGATACAGCTGGAGGAGTTGGCTTCGTAGATATGTTGTCCGATCATGGTCAATTCTATAGTGGTGCTTCTGCTGAAATATTCACTAAGGATGGAGCTGGTGATGGATACGCTTCAGCCGGTGGAGTCGGCTTCGAAGATATGATGTCCGATGATGGTCAATTGTTCGAAGGTGCTTCTGCAGAATCATTCACTGAGGATGGAGCTGGTGATGGATACGCTACAGCTGGTGGAGTTGGCTTCGTAGATATGATGTCCGATGATGGTCAATTCTTCAAAGGTGCTTCTGCAGAAACATTCACTGACGATGGAGCTGGTGATGGATACGCTACAGCTGGTGAAGTCGGCTTCGGAGATATGATGTCTGATGATGGTCAATTGTTCAAAGGTGCTTCTGCAGAATCATTCACTGAGGATGGAGCTGGTGATGGATACGCTACAGCTGGTGGAGTTCGCTTCGTAGATATGATGTCCGATGATGGTCAATTCTTCAAAGGTGCTTCTGCTGAAACATTCGCTGAGGATGGAGCTGGTGATGGATACGCTACAGCTGGTGCAGTTGGCCTCGAAGATATGATGTCCGATGATGATCAATTCTTCAGTGGTGCTTCTGCCGAAGGATTCAAGATCAGTGCTGCTGGTGATGAATATGGTACAGCTGGTGGAGTTGGCTTCGGAGATATGATAACTGATGATAGTCAATTCGTCAGTGGTAATTCAGCCGAAGGATTCAAGATCAGTGCTGCTGGTGATGAATATGATACAGCTGGTGGAGTTGGCTTCGTAGATATGATGTCCGATCATGGTCAATTCTCAAAGTGTGCTTCTGCTGAAATATTCACTAAGGATGGAGCTGGTGATGGATACGCTACAGCCGGTGCAGTCGGCTTCGAAGATATGATGTCCGATGATGGTCAATTCTTCGAGGTGCTTCTGCCAAAGGATTCAAGATCAGTGCTGCTGGTGATGGATATGCTACAGCTGGTGGAGTTGGCTTCGGAGATATGATGTCCAATGATGGTCAATTCTTTAAAGGTGTTTCTGCTGAAACATTCACTGAGGATGGAGCTGGTGATGGATACGCTACAGCTGGTGAGTTAGCTCCGAAGATATGATGTCTGATGATGATCAATTCTTCAGTGGTGCTTCTGCCGAAGGATTCAAGATCAGTGCTGCTGGTGATGAATATGGTACAGCTGGTGGAGTTGGCTTCGGAGATATGATGTCCGATGATGGTCAATTCTTCAAAGGTGCTTCTGCTGAAACATTCGTTGAGGATGGAGCTGGTGATGGATACGCTACAGCTGGTGCAGTTGGCTTTGAAGATATGATGCCTGATGATGATCAATTCTTCAGTGGTGCTTCTGCCGAAGTATTCAAGAACAGTGCTGCTGGTGATGAATATGGTACAGCTGGTGGAGTTGGCTTCGGAGATTTAATGTCCAATGATGGTCAATTCTTCAAAGGTGTTTCTGCTGAAACATTCACTGAGGATGGAGCTGGTGATGGATACGCTACAGCTGGTGGAGTTGGCTTCGAAGATATGATGTCCGATGATGGTCAATTCTTCAGTGGTGCTTCTGCCGAAGGATTCAAGATCAGTGCTGCTGGTGATGAATATGGTACAGCTGGTGGAGTTGGCTTCGGAGATATGATTACCGATGATGGTCAATTCGTCAATGGTAATTCAGCCGAAGGATTCAAGATCAGTGCTGCTGGTGATGAATATGGTACAGCTGGTGGAGTTGGCTTCGGAGATATGATGTCCGATGATGGTCAATTCTTCAAAGGTGCTAAAGCTGAAACATTCGCTGAGGATGGAGCTGGTGATGGATACGCTACAGCTGGTGCAGTTGGCTTCAAAGATATGATGTCCGATGATGATCAATTATTCAGTGGTGCTTCTGCCGAAGGATTCAAGATCAGTGCTGCTGGTGATGAATATGGTACAGCTGGTGGAGTTGGCTTCGGAGATATGATAACCGATGATGGTCAATTCTTCAGTGGTAATTCAGTTGAAGGATTCAAGATCAGTGCTGCTGGTGATGAATATGGTACAGCTGGTGGAGTTGGCTTCGAAGATATGATGTCCGATGATGAACAATTATTCAGTGGTAATTCAGCCGAAGGATTCAAGATCATTGCTGCTGCTGATGAATATGGTACAGCTGGTGAAGTTGGCTTCGGAGAAATGAAAACCGATGATGATCAATTATTCAGTGGTAATTCAGCCGAAGGATTCAAGATCAGTGCTGCTGGTGATGAATATGGTACAGCTGGTGGAGTTGGCTTCGGAGATATGATAACCGATGATGGTCAATTCGTCAGTGGTAATTCAGCCGAAGGATTCAAGATCAGTGCTGCTGGTGATGAATATGATACAGCTGGAGGAGTTGGCTTTGTAGATATGTTGTCCGATCATGGTCAATTCTATAGTGGTGCTTCTGCTGAAATATTCACTGAGGATGGAGCTGGTGATGGATACACTTCAGCCGGTGGAGTCGGCTTCGAAGATACGATGTCCGATGATGGTCAATTGTTCGAAGGTGCTTCTGCACAATCATTCACTGAGGATGGAGCTGGTGATGGATACGCTACAGCTGGTGGAGTTCGCTTCGTAGATATGATGTCCGATGATGGTCAATTCTTCAAAGGTGCTTCTGCAGAAACATTCACTGACGATGGAGCTGGTGATGGATACGCTACAGCTGGTGAAGTCGGCTTCGGAGATATGATGTCCGATGATGGTCAATTGTTCAAAGGTGCTTCTGCAGAATCATTCACTGAGGATGGAGCTGGTGATGGATACGCTACAGCTGGTGGAGTTGGCTTCGTAAATATGATGTCCGATGATGGTCAATTCTTCAAAGGTGCTTCTGCTGAAACATTCGCTGAGGATGGAGCTGGTGATGGATACGCTACAGCTGGTGTAGTTGGCCTCGAAGATATGATGTCCGATGATGATCAATTCTTCAGTGGTGCTTCTGCCGAAGGATTCAAGATCAGTGCTGCTGGTGATGAATATGTTACAGCTGGTGGAGTTGGCTTCGGAGATATGATAACCGATGATGGTCAATTCGTCAGTGGTAATTCAGCCGAAGGATTTAAGATCAGTGCTGCTGGTGATGAATATGGTACAGCTGGTGGAGTTGGCTTCGGAGATATGATGTCCGATGATGGACAATTCTTCAAAGATGCTTCTGCTGAAACATTCGCTGAGGATGGAGCTGGTGATGGATACGTTACAGCTGGTGCAGTTGGCCTCGAAGATATGATGTCCGATGATGATCAATTCTTCAGTGGTGCTTCTGCCGAAGGATTCAAGATCAGTGCTGCTGGTGATGAATATGTTACAGCTGGTGGAGTTGGCTTCGGAGATATGATTACCGATGATGGTCAATTCGTCAGTGGTAATTCAGCCGAAGGATTCAAGATCAGTGCTGCTGGTGATGAATATGGTACAGCTGGTGGAGTTGGCTTCGGAGATATGATGTCCGATGATGGTCAATTCTTCAAAGATGCTTCTGCTGAAACATTCGCTGAGGATGGAGCTGGTGATGGATACGCTACAGCTGGTGCAGTTGGCTTTGAAGATATGATGCCTGATGATGATCAATTCTTCAGTGGTGCTTCTGCCAAAGGATTCAAGATCAGTGCTGCTGGTGATGAATATGGTACAGCTGGTGGAGTTGGCTTCGGAGATTTGATGTCCAATGATGGTCAATTCTTCAAAGGTGCTTCTGCAGAATCATTCACTGAGGATGGAGCTGGTGATGGATACGCTACAGCTGGTGGAGTTGGCTTCGTAGATATGATGTCCGATGATGGTCAATTCTTCAAAGGTGCTTCTGCTGAAACATTCGCTGAGGATGGAGCTGGTGATGGATACGCTACAGCTGGTGCAGTTGGCCTCGAAGATATGATGTCCGATGATGATCAATTCTTCAGTGGTGCTTCTGCCGAAGGATTCAAGATCAGTGCTGCTGGTGATGAATATGTTACAGCTGGTGGAGTTGGCTCCGGAGATATGATTACCGATGATGGTCAATTCGTCAGTGGTAATTCAGCCGAAGGATTCAAGATCAGTGCTGCTGGTGATGAATATGGTACAGCTGGTGGAGTTGGCTTCGGAGATATGATGTCCGATGATGGTCAATTCTTCAAAGATGCTTCTGCTGAAACATTCGCTGAGGATGGAGCTGGTGATGGATACGCTACAGCTGGTGGAGTTAGCTCCGAAGATATGATGTCCGATGATGGTCAATTCGTCAATGGTAATTCAGCCGAAGGATTCAATATCAGTGCTGCTGGTGATGGATACGCTACAGCTGGTGCAGTTGGCTTTGAAGATATGATGCCTGATGATGATCAATTCGTCAATGGTAATTCAGCCGAAGGATTCAAGATCAGTGCTGCTGGTGATGGATACGCTACAGCTGGTGCAGTTGGCTTTGAAGATATGATGCCTGATGATGATCAATTCTTCAGTGGTGCTTCTGCCAAAGGATTCAAGATCAGTGCTGCTGGTGATGGATACGCTACAGCTGGTGCAGTTGGCTTTGAAGATATGATGCCTGATGATGATCAATTCTTCAGTGGTGCTTCTGCCAAAGGATTCAAGATCAGTGCTGCTGGTGATGAATATGGTACAGCTGGTGCAGTTGGCCTCGAAGATATGATGTCCGATGATGATCAATTCTTCAGTGGTGCTTCTGCCGAAGGATTCAAGATCAGTGCTGCTGGTGATGAATATGTTACAGCTGGTGGAGTTGGCTTCGGAGATATGATTACCGATGATGGTCAATTCGTCAGTGGTAATTCAGCCGAAGGATTCAAGATCAGTGCTGCTGGTGATGAATATGGTACAGCTGGTGGAGTTGGCTTCGGAGATATGATGTCCGATGATGGTCAATTCTTCAAAGATGCTTCTGCTGAAACATTCGCTGAGGATGGAGCTGGTGATGGATACGCTACAGCTGGTGCAGTTGGCCTCGAAGATATGATTACCGATGATGGTCAATTCTTCAGTGGTGCTTCTGCCGAAGGATTCAAGATCAGTGCTGCTGGTGATGAATATGGTACAGCTGGTGGAGTTGGCTTCGGAGATATGATTACCGATGATGGTCAATTCGTCAATGGTAATTCAGCCGAAGGATTCAAGATCATTGCTGCTGCTGATGAATATGGTACAGCTGGTGAAGTTGGCTTCGGAGAAATGATAACCGATGATGATCAATTATTCAGTGGTAATTCAGCCGAAGGATTCAAGATCAGTGCTGCTGGTGATGAATATGGTACAGCTGGTGGAGTTGGCTTCGGAGATATGATAACCGATGATGGTCAATTCGTCAGTGGTAATTCAGCCGAAGGATTCAAGATCAGTGCTGCTGGTGATGAATATGATACAGCTGGAGGAGTTGGCTTCGTAGATATGTTGTCCGATCATGGTCAATTCTATAGTTGTGCTTCTGCTGAAATATTCACTGAGGATGGAGCTGGTGATGGATACACTTCAGCCGTTGGAGTCGGCTTCGAAGATATGATGTCCGATGATGGTCAATTGTTCGAAGGTGCTTCTGCAGAATCATTCACTGAGGATGGAGCTGGTGATGGATACGCTACAGCTGGTGGAGTTCGCTTCGTAGATATGATGTCCGATGATGGTCAATTCTTCAAAGGTGATTCTGCAGAAACATTCACTGACGATGGAGCTGGTGATGGATACGCTACAGCTGGTGAAGTCGGCTTCGGAGATATGATGTCCGATGATGGTCAATTGTTCAAAGGTGCTTCTGCAGAATCATTCACTGAGGATGGAGTTGGTGATGGATACGCTACAGCTGGTGGAGTTGGCTTCGTAGATATGATGTCCGATGATGGTCAATTCTTCAAAGGTGCTTCTGCTGAAACATTCGCTGAGGATGGAGCTGGTGATGCATACTCTACAGCTGGTGCAGTTGGCCTCGAAGATATGATGTCCGATAATGATCAATTCTTCAGTGGTGCTTCTGCCGAAGGATTCAAGATCGGTGCTGCTGGTGATGAATATGGTACAGCTGGTGGAGTTGGCTTCGGAGATATGATTACCGATGATGGATAATTCGTCAATGGTAATTCAGCCGAAGGATTCAAGATCAGTGCTGCTGGTGATGAATATGGTACAGCTGGTGGAGTTGGCTTCAGAGATATGATGTCCGATGATGGTCAATTCTTCAAAGGTGCTAAAGCTGAAACATTCGCTGAGGATGGAGCTGGTGATGGATACGCTACAGCTGGTGCAGTTGGCTTCAAAGATATGATGACCGATGATGATCAATTCTTCAGTGGTGCTTCTGCCGAAGGATTCAAGATCAGTGCTGTTGGTGATGAATATGGTACAGCTGGTGGAGTTGGCTTCGGAGATATGATAACCGATGATGGTCAATTCTTCAGTGGTAATTCAGCCGAAGGATTCAAGATCAGTGCTGCTGGTGATGAATATGGTACAGCTGGTGGAGTTGGCTTCGAAGATATGATGTCCGATGATGATCAATTATTCAGTGGTAATTCAGCCGAAGGATTCAAGATCATTGCTGCTGCTGATGAATATGGTACAGCTGGTGAAGTTGGCTTCGGAGAAGCCGAAGGATTCAAGATCAGTGCTGCTGGTGATGAATATGGTATAGCTGGTGGAGTTGGGTTCGAAGATATGATGTCCGATGATGGTCAATTCTTTAAAGGTGGTTCTACTGAAACATTCGCTGAGGATGGAGCTGGTGATGGATACGCTACAGCTGGTGCAGTTGGCTTCGAAGATATGATGTCCGATGATGGTCAATTCGTCAGTGGTAATTCAGCCGAAGGATTCAAGATCAGTGCTGCTGGTAATGAATATGGAACAGCTGGTCGAGTTGGCTTCGGAGATATGATGTCCGATGATGGTCAATTCTTCAAAGGTGCTTCTGCTGAAACATTCATAGAAGATGGAGCTGGTGATGGATACGCTACAGCTGGTGGAGTTAGCTTCGAAGATATGATGTCTGATGATGATCAATTCTTCAGTGGTGCTTCTGCCGAAGGATTCAAGATCAGTGCTGCTGGTGATGAATATGGTACAGCTGGTGGAGTTGGCTTCGGAGATATGATAACCGATGATGGTCAATTCGTCAGTGGTAATTCAGCCGAAGGATTCAAGATCAGTGCTGCTGGTGATGAATATGGTACAGCTGGTGGAGTTGGCTTCGGAGATATGATGTCCGATGATGGTCAATTCTATAGTGGTGCTTCTGCTGAAATATTCACTGAGGATGGAGCTGGTGATGGATACGCTACAACTGGTGCAGTTGGCTTCGAAGATATGATGTCCGATGATGATCAATTCTTCAGTGGTGCTTCTGCCGAAAGATTCAAGATCAGTACTGCTGGTGATGAATATGGTACAGCTGGTGGAGTTGGCTTCGGAGATATGATGTCCGATGATGGTCAATTCTTCAAAGGTGCTTCTGCTGAAACATTCGTTGAGGATGGAGCTGTTGATGGATACGCTGCAGCTGGTGCAGTTGGCTTCAGAGATATGATAACTGATGATAGTCAATACGTCAATGGTAATTCAGCCGAAGGATTCAAGATCAGTGCTGCTGGTGATGAATATGGTACAGCTGGTGGAGTTGGCTTCGGAAATATGATATCCAATGATGGTCAATTCTTCAAAGGTGCTTCTGCTAAAACATTCATAGAGGATGGAGCTGGTGATGGATACGCTACAGCTGGTGGAGTTAGCTTCGAAGATATGATGTCCGATGATGATCAATTCTTCAGTGGTGCTTCTGCCGAAGGATTCAAGATCAGTGCTGCTGGTGATGAATTTGGTACAGCTGGTGGAGTTGGCTTCGGAGATATGATAACCGATGATGGTCAATTCGTCAGTGGTAATTCAGCTGAAGGATTCAAGATCAGTGCTGCTGGTGATGAATATGGTACAGCTGGTGGAGTTGGCTTCGGAGATATGATGTCCGATGATGGTCAATTCTATAGTGGTGCTTCTGCTGAATTATTCACTGAGGATGGAGCTGGTGATGAATACGCTACAGCTGGTGGAGTTGGCTTCGGAAATATGATGTCCGATGATGGTCAATTCTTCAAAGGTGCTTCTGCTAAAACATTCGCTGAGGATGGAGCTGGTGATGGATACGCTACAGCTGGTGTAGTTGGCTTCGAAGATATGATGTCCGATGATGATCAATACTTCAGTGGTGCTTCTGCCGAAAGATTTAAGATCAGTACTGCTGGTGATGAATATGGTACAGCTGGTGGAGTTGGCTTCGGAGATATGATTACCGATGATGGTCAATTCGTCAGTGGTAATTCAGCCGAAGGATTCAAGATCAGTGCTGCTGGTGATGAATATGGTACAGCTGGTGGAGTTGGATTCGGAGATATGATAACCGATGATGGTCAATTTGTCAGTGGTAATTCAGCCGAAGGATTCAAGATCAGTGCTGCTGGTGATGAATATGGTACAGCTGGTGGAGTTGGCTTCGGAGATTTGATGTCCGATGATGGTCAATTCTTTAGTGTTGCTTCTGCTGAAATATTCACTGAGGATGGAGCTGGTGATGGATACGCTACGGCTAGTGGAGTCGACTTCGGAGATATGATGTCCGATCATGATCAATTCGTCAGTGGTAATTCAGCCGAAGGATTCAAGATCAGTGCTGCTGGTGATGAATATGGTACAGCTGTTGGAGTTGGCTTCGGAGATATGATGTCCGATGATGGTCAATTTTATAGTGGTGCTTCTGCTGAAATATTCACTGAGGATGGAGCTGGTGATGGATTCGCTACAGCTGGTGGAGTTGGCTTCAGAAATATGATGTCCGATGATGGTCAATTCTTCAAAGGTGCTTCTGCTGAAACATTCGCTGAGGATGGAGCTGGTGATGAATACGCTACAGCTGGTGCGGTTGGCTTCGAAGATATGATGTCCGATGATGATCAATTCTTCAGTGGTGCTTCTGCCGAAGGATTCAAGATCAGTGCTGCTGGTGATGAATATGGTACAGCTGGTGGAGTTGGCTTCGGAGATATGATAACTGATGATGGTCAATTCGTCAGTGGTAATTCAGCCGAAGGATTCAAGATCAGTGCTGCTGGTGATGAATATGGTACATCTGGTGTAGTTGGCTTCGGAGATATGATGTCCGATGATGGTCAATTCTTTAGTGGTAATTCAGCCGAAGGATTCAAGATCAGTGCTGCTGGTAATGAATATGGTACAGCTGGTGGAGTTGGCTACGGAGATATGATGTCCGATGATGGTCAATTCTTCAAAGGTGCTTCTGCTGAAACATTTACTGAGGATGGAGCTGGTGATGGATACGCTACAGCTAGTGGAGTCGACTTCGGAGATATGATGTCCGATCATGATCAATTCGTCAGTGGTAATTCAGCGGAAGGATTCAAGATCAGTGCTGCTGGTGATGAATATGGTACAGCTGTTGGAGTTGGCTTCGGAGATATGATGTCCGATGATGGTCAATTCTTCAGTGGTGCTTCTGCCAAAGGATTCAAGATCAGTGCTGCTGGTGATGAATATGGTACAGCTGGTGGAGTTGGCTTCGAAGATATGATGTCTGATGATGGTCAATTCTTCAAAAGTGCTTCTGCTGAAACATTCGCTAAGGATGGAGCTGGTGATGGATACGCTACAGCTGGTGCAGTTGGCTTCGAAGATATGATGTCCGATGATGATCAATTCTTCAGTGGTGCTTCTGCCGAAGGATTCAAGATCAGTGCTGCTGGTGATGAATATGGTACAGTTGGTGGAGTTGGCTTCGGAGATATGATTACCGATGATGGTCAATTCGTCAGTGGTAATTCAGCCGAAGGATTCAAGATCAGTGCTGCTGGTGATGAATATGGTACATCTGGTGTAGTTGGCTTCGGAGATATGATGTCCGATGATGGTCAATTCTTCAGTGGTAATTCAGCCGAAGGATTCAAGATCAGTGCTGCTGGTAATGAATATGGTACAGCTGGTGGAATTAGCTACGGAGATATGATGCCCGATGATGGTCAATTCTTTAAAGGTGCTTCTGCTGAAACATTCACTGAGGATGGAGCTGGTGATGGATACGCTACGGCTAGTGGAGTCGACTTCGGAGATATGATGTCCGATCATGATCAATTCGTCAGTGGTAATTCAGCCGAAGGATTCAAGATCAGTGCTGCTGGTGATGAATATGGTACAGCTGTTGGAGTTGGCTTCGGAGATATGATGTCCGATGATGGTCAATTTTATAGTGGTGATTCTGCTGAAATATTCACTGAGGATAGAGCTGGTGATGGATACGCTACAGCTAGTGGAGTTGGCTTTGGAAATATGATGTCTGATGATGGTCAATTCTTCAAAGGTGCTTCTGCTGAAACATTCGCTGAGGATGGAGCTGGTGATGAATACGCTACAGCTGGTGCAGTTGGCTTCGAAGATATGATGTCCGATGATGATCAATTCTTCAGTGGTGCTTCTGCCGAAGGATTCAAGATCAGTGCTGCTGGTGATGAATATGGTACAGCTGGTGGAGTTGGCTTCGGAGATATAATTACCGATGATGGTCAATTCGTCAGTGGTAATTCAGCCGAAGGCTTCAAGATCAGTGCTGCTGGTGATGAATATGGTACAGCTGGTGGAGTTGGCTTCGGAGATATGATAACCGATGATGGTCAATTCGTCAGTGGTAATTCAGCCGAAGGATTCAAGATCAGTGCTGCTGGTGATGAATATGGTACAGCTGGTGGAGTTGGCTTCGGAGATATGATGTCCTATGATGGTCAATTCTATAGTGGTGCTTCTGCTGAAATATTCACTGAGGATGGAGCTGGTGATGGATACGCTACAGCTGGTGGAGTTAGCTCCGAAGATATGAAGTCCGATGATGATCAATTCTTCAGTGGTGCTTCTGCCGAAGGATTCAAGATCAGTGCTGCTGGTGATGAATATGGAACAGCTGGTGGAGTTGGTTTCGGAGATATGATGTCCGATGATGGTCAATTCTATAGTGGTGCTTCTGCTGAAATATTCACTGAGGATATAGCTGGTGATGGATACGTTACAGCTGGTGGAGTTGGCTTCGGAGATATGATGTCCGATGATGGTCAATTCTTCAAAGGTGCTTCTGCTGAAACATTCGCTGAGGATGGAGCTGGTGATGAATACGCTACAGCTGGTGCAGTTGGCTTCGAAGATATGATGTCCGATGATGATCAATTCTTCAGTGGTGCTTCTGCCGAAGGATTCAAGATCAGTGCTGCTGGTGATGAATATGGTACATCTGGTGTAGTTGGCTTCGGAGATATAATTACCGATGATGGTCAATTCTTCAGTGGTAATTCAGCCGAAGGATTCAAGATCAGTGCTGCTGGTAATGAATATGGTACAGCTGGTGGAATTAGCTACGGAGATATAATGCCCGATGATGGTCAATTCGTCAGTGGTAATTCAACCGAAGGATTCAAGATCAGTGCTGCTGGTGATGAATATGGTACAGCTGGTGGAGTTGGCTTCGGAGATATGATGTCCGATGATGGTCAATTCTATAGTGGTGCTTCTGCTGAAATATTCACTGAGGATTGAGCTGGTGATGGATACGCTACAGCTGGTGGAGTTAGCTCCGAAGATATGAAGTCCGATGATGATCAATTCTTCAGTGGTGCTTCTGCCGAAGGATTCAAGATCAGTGCTGCTGGTGATGAATATGGTACAGCTGGTGGAGTTGGCTTCGGAGATATGATTACCGATGATGGTCAATTCGTCAGTGGTAATTCAGCCGAAGGATTCAAGATCAGTGCTGCTGGTGATGAATATGGTACAGCTGGTGGAGTTGGCTTCGGAGATATGATGTCCGATGATGGTCAATTCTATAGTGGTGCTTCTGCTGAAATATTCACTGAGGATATAGCTGGTGATGGATACGCTACAGCTGGTGGAGTTGGCTTTGGAAATATGATGTCCGATGATGGTCAATTCTTCAAAGGTGCTTCTGCTGAAGGATTCAAGATCAGTGCTGCTGGTGATGAATATGGTACAGCTGTTGGAGTTGGCTTCGGAGATATGATGTCCGATGATGGTCAATTTTATAGTGGTGCTTCTGCTGAAATATTCACTGAGGATGGAGCTGGTGATGGATACGCTACAGCTAGTGGAGTTGGCTTTGGAAATATGATGTCTGATGATGGTCAATTCTTCAAAGGTGCTTCTGCTGAAACATTCGCTAAGGATGGAGCTGGTGATGGATACGCTACAGCTGGTGCAGTTGGCTTCGAAGATATGATGTCCGATGATGATCAATTCTTCAGTGGTGCTTCTGCCGAAGGATTCAAGATCAGTGCTGCTGGTGATGAATATGGTACAGCTGGTGGAGTTGGCTTCGGAGATATGATTACCGATGATGGTCAATTCGTCAGTGGTAATTCAGCCGAAGGATTCAAGATCAGTGCTGCTGGTGATGAATATGGTACAGCTGGTGGAGTTGGCTTCGGAGATATGATAACCGATGATGGTCAATTCGTCAGTGGTAATTCAGCCGAAGGATTCAAGATCAGTGCTGCTGGTGATGAATATGGTACAGCTGGTGGAGTTGGCTTCGGAGATATGATGTCCGATGATGGTCAATTCTATAGTGGTGCTTCTGCTGAAATATTCACTGAGGATGGAGCTGGTGATGGATACGCTACAGCTGGTGGAGTTAGCTTCGAAGATATGAAGTCCGATGATGATCAATTCTTCAGTGGTGCTTCTGCCGAAGGATTCAAGATCAGTGCTGCTGGTGATGAATATGGTACAGCTGGTGGAGTTGGCTTCGGAGATATGATAACCGATGATGGTCAATTCGTCAGTGGTAATTCAGCCGAAGGATTCAAGATCAGTGCTGCTGGTGATGAATATGGTACAGCTGGTGGAGTTGGCTTCGGAGATATGATGTCCGATGATGGTCAATTCTTCAGTGGTGCTTCTGCTGAAGGATTCAAGAGGATGGAGCTGGTGATGAATACGCTACAGCTGGTGGAGTTGGCTTCGGAGATATGATGTCCGATGATGGTCAATTCTTCAGTGGTAATTCAGCCGAAGGATTCAAGATCAGTGCTGCTGGTGATGAATATGGTACAGCTGGTGTAGTTGGCTTCGGAGATATGATGTCCGATGATGGTCAATTCTTCAGTGGTAATTCAGCCGAAGGATTCAAGATCAGTGCTGCTGGTGATGAATATGGTACATCTGGTGTAGTTGGCTTCGGAGATATGATGTCCGATGATGGTCAATTCTTCAGTGGTAATTCAGCCGAAGGATTCAAGATCAGTGCTGCTGGTGATGAATATGGTACAGCTGGTGGAGTTGGCTTCGGATATATGATGTCCGATGATGGTCAATTCTTAAGTGGTGCCTCTGCCGAAGGATTTGATGGTATTAAATCTAGTGTTTACGATGTTGAATTTACGGCTGATGAAGACTCTGTCAATTCCAAACTTTTCAGTGATATATACTACAGTAGAGCATCTTCTGTTGGCTCCACTTGTAAGGAACTGAAACGGCAATATGAAGAATTATGTGGGGCTTGAAAACTAACTGATTAATTGTGTTATATTGTTTTCGGATGTTTGATTTTTGTTCTATCACCATTTTCATATTTTTTGTGCTAGTCTATACAGCTCCTTCTTTTTTAATTACAAATACCAACATAATTTGTTGTTCTTTACCTAATAGAATTTTTCTTTACCTAATAAAATTGTATCCATAACTCTTAGCTTAGTGTATGTGTAATAAAATGAATGTTTTTTTCTGAAATTGTGCTGCTATGTGTAGAAGTACGAGTGTTGAGTAACTACAACAACAACAACATGTTGAACCTAGTTAGCTAGGAGCAAGTGGCCGATCTCCTTTTCTTTTGCAGTCGGTCCTCTTGGTACATATTTCCTTGCAGTCGGGACGCATATGTACTGGTGTTATTTTCGCAGCCCTAATGAAGTAATGAGAGCCACTATCATTCACACTGGTATTCGGGCCAGTAAACAAGCGAATAAACAACTTAGCCACTGAGCCACTAGTAAGCATCAACATTTTGAAATTTATTATTGACAGAATAACAGTCAATAAAGTTGGCATACGATACAATAATTGACGTGACAACTGACATTATTATTATACATTATTATTATACCTGATGTGTGCATTATTTACACTAGCAGGAAAAAAATCGCGATTCTGTACATGCCGCGATTTCCTTTTGTCCCAGCTTGGGGTCCAGATTTTGGGCTCTAAAATTCCTATTCCTTGGCCAATTTTTTATTTTTCATGCTGATTTGGAGGCCATTAAATCATTTCACCTAGTCAAAAAAGTTTCAGTTGTATATCTTGTACGATTTTGCGGAAAGTCGCATTAAAGTTGATGCCGTGGCGGCCGTGGTGTCAGTAAAACGGTACGGATAAACACACATATATACAGGGGGGCCAAAAGTCAGTACCCATATGTTTTTCCTGAAAAAATTAGAACTGTAGAACAAGCACAGTTAATTCCACAGCACTTAAGGTGTTGCAAAAAAAGAGGAAGAGGAAACGGGAAAATCATTACAACGATCCTAATATTGCACTCCATCGCAATTACCTAAAGGATGCGTCCCTGGGTCACAGGATTTCCCCCTCTTTTTCGTCCAAGGAAAAGCTTGAAGATGCAAAGAAGCAACTGGACGAAGCTTATAATGCTGCTACTTCACAGCACATTCGACAACAGACTAACCGTCTGGAGAAAACTAACCCTGAGCACAGGCATCGCATTTTCTGGCACATCATCAGACTACTAACATCCTCCGACACTGTGCCATACTGCAAAGTGCCAGGAGGCACTATCGAAGAACGACTCAACATCTGGTTCGAGCACTTCAACTCCCTTCTAGGCACAGAACATCCTCCACCTGACCTCACCCTCCCCTTCTTCAACCAGCGAGTCTCTGACACCCTGCCCATCAGCTGCTCATCCTTCAGCATGTCAGAACTCGACACGGTTCTGAAGTCCTCCAAGTCACCCGGTCTAGATAGCATCCCTCCCTCAGTCTGGAAGCTTCCCCAGCTACGTGAAAACCTCCTCGGATTCTGTAACAAAGCACTCATGGATGGTGTGATAGCTCAAGCCTGGAAAACGGCCTCTATCATTCCTATCCCCAAAAAGGGAGATCTTACTCATCCAGGAAACTACCGTGGCATTTCACTGGCACCGGTTGCAGCGAAAGTTTTTAACAAGCTCATCCTCAACCGGATCTACCCATTCATTGATCCCCTCTTGCGACCAAACCAAATTGGTTTCCGTAGAGGAAGATACACACTCCCACAGGTCCTTGCCCTACCGCCCCTACGTCGTATACTCGAGGAATGCAAGATCGGAAATCGCTCAGCCGCAATTGTGTTTGTCGATTTTTCGAAAGCATTCGACAGCATTAACCGGGATGCCCTTTTCCACATCCTCTCCCTCTACGGTATCCCTGCTCCACTAGTAGATGCTATCAGGCTACGTTATGACTCATCGTTCTCTCGTTTCCAGACCATCGACGGCCTTACTGACATTTTTAGGACACTTATTGGAGTTCTTCAAGGGGACACTCTGGCACCCTTTCTTTTCATCATATGTCCTCAGAAGCTGCATGGCTGAAGAATTCGGTCTTACCATCGTGCCTACGAAAAGTCGAAGAGTGCCTGCGGTCAAAATCACAGACCTTGACTTTGCTGATGATTTGGCCTTAATTTCAGACACCATAGAGCAAGTCCAACTTCTGCTGACAGACCTTGAAAATGCGGCCGCACAAGTTGGTCTTGCTATGAATGCTTCTAAGACCTCTTCATGACCATCAACATCCCTGACACTGTCGACCTACATTCCATCTCAGGCCGCCAGATTAAACAGGTGATGACTTTAAATACCTCGGTTCTTTCATTGCGGACAGTAGAAAGGATTTCAACACAAGGAAAGGAATGGCCTGGTCAGCCTGTATTAAACTGCAAAAAGTCTGGTCCTCTGGCATTTCCGAACAACTGAAAGTCAAGTTCTTTAGAGCCTGTGTCGAATCAGTATTGCTGTATGGATCAGAGACATGGACCATAAACAAGCAGCTTGAGAAGCGCCTCAACGGATGCTACACCCGTCTTTTAATGAAGGCCAAGAACATCTCGTGGAAGAAGCATCCAACCCTCAAGCAGATCTATGGCAACTTTCCATCTATTGCCTCAGTGGTTGCGTCAAGGCGTTCCAGATTTGCTGGGCATTGCATGAGGGCTTCTGACCAAGTTATCTCCTCTATCCTCCCCTGGCGACTTGCCCAGTCCGGCCGTGGAAGGAGACCACTCACCTTCCTGGACGTAGTAGCTCGAGACACTGGGATCCAGTTGAACTGTTATGATCGAGACGTGTGGACGCAGACAGTGAATGGGATTTCGATTGAGGATCGCCCAATCGTAAAAAGTAAGTAGAACTGTAGCTTCTCAGATCACCGAGATACGGAGCATAACGAGTTTATTCATTACGTGTGATCAGGTGATTGGCTTACCTAATCACGTGATAAGGTGACCCCGTTAACCACCCCGTTAAACATTATGGGCATTGTTAAGGGTGCCCAATTAAGGTGTCGTGTCACGGTGTCACATAATCACCCAGTAAATTTTGTTAACGAGATACAGAAAAAGCTTGATAACTTCGTCATTTCTAATCCGTTTTGCCTCATGTTTTCAGATCATATGCAACATATAATAATTTACTGTCTCTAAAAAAATTAGGCGTTCAGCATGTTCAGAGAAAACAATATAGGTGTTTTAATATTGAATGGGCGTGGTCTAAAATATTCTAATTTTAAAATTTTGAAGACGGAATCCTCGAACCAGTAAGTTCAGTATGCCATTTGCAAAGCAACAGCTCTCAAATATAAAACACGGCGGAGCTATTAAGACCAACGTATGTCCACTGACTTTTGGCCCACCCTGTATATATATATATCTTAGACCTCCTGAACGAGCTCCCTTTTAGTGACATCATTAAAGAAGACGAAGTCCATTTGCTTAAAGAATGTCCAGTCTACAAGGAGATCAGACAAAGAAACAGCACAGAACTTCACAACATGCTCACAAATAGTGAATTCAGTAAATTATTTAATGAGAATTACATTCTTGAGACTAGAAATTTTGTTTATAATTTATTTCGTGAAAGATTTCCTAAAAGTAAGCTGTGATTTAGTATCCATATTCCGTGCACACTTTGAAACCATTTCTTTATTTATGATATTATGTTTTTTGTTTGGTTGAATAATTTTCATTTAATTGATTTGGATCTGACACATGTAATTTTGTAATTTTTGTTTGTTTGTTTGGGGACCGGTTTTTGGTACACCGGCCAATGTTTACAAAATCATAATATGATACATAACAATATAATTGTATTTAATATACGTGAATAATGATCTTTCTAATTTCTAATTTCTAATTTCTAATTTCTAATTTCTAATCACAGTGCTGGCAAGCACGAGCGGTGTCTTTATTGGGGGAATACTATGTACCCCCTTTACTATTGTACCCCCATTTACTATTATAACCCCTTTACACCCCCTTTGGTACACGTTGGAAGCCTCTTTCGTGCACGCGAAGCGTGCACTCCGGCCGGAGGCGGCGGCCGAAGGCCGCCTCCTCCGGCAGGAGTTTTTCAGGCATTAAGACTCATCGGAAGTCGTTCAGCAGATTTATTTTTAGTTCAAAACATTCTAATTTGATGTCAAAGATGACAGAAATAAGAAATAGTTATGTTGAGATTTTTAAGAAATTTGCTTAAAATACGCGCCAGCACTGTTATACGAAATTCGGTAAAAACCCGAAATCGCCATATTCAGGTGCCTTAAAAACCATGTTAAAATTGAGTTAGAGATCTGAAATTTTTCAGGGCGTCTAGACGTTGACCAAATCGACAGCAAAAAAAGTTTCAAGTTTCAGGAGCATCGGGAAATGGGTTTTCTAGAACCCCTGTTTTACGACAGATTGTCGTGATATATACATACATATGA